AAAGAGGGAATGTAAAGGTAGTGGGGGCAAACATATTGTTAGACAGGAAGTGCGATCTTTAGAGACCACATTAAACTCAGGACAGGAAGTTTTTTAACAATTGTGTCGCATTTTAGACTATTATTATTAATAGATAATTAAAACTTTCTCGTCTAAGACACATTCTGAAAAATATTATATAGCTACTGTTGATAAGTGTGGGAAAATTTAAATTTGGCGCATTCGTATTTCCGGATAAATCCGCCATCAGAGGCTACTTTTTTGGTCTCCTTTTCATAAGGATTAGATTCCCTCTTTTGTCTTTTTGCTCGATGGGAAACTCTCAAAACAGTATTTTTAGAATACACGCTTGAATTTTATTTACTAATAATTTTATGTGTATATTTTTTTGCCTTATATAATGATAGCTTCTGAGATATCGAGGAGAAAAATAGTCGTCGATAACGTCTTTTTTCCTTCTAATTTTTTTCTTGTATTTTACATCTGTTTCAGGAGCAATATACTCAAACTATAGTCTTAACACACTACATAACAAATAGCATTTATCATACTGTAGCATCATTTACATACCAAAGTAGGTCTTTATATATTCTTTTTTTAAATTAAGACTAAAGGACCATATAATCTGAACATATCTTTGTCGGCATGCGGCAATATGGGATGTTTGAAATTGTGTGAATAATTTTCAGTAATTTCGTAACGGCATGGTGAAATAAATTCTTATAGGTAGTAGAAGATCTATCAAAGATGACTGATATATGTCGTAGATTGTTGGTGTATTTGCATTAATTAATTAAGACTGTAATATCGTATTTGTTATGTTGATTTGGGAATTGTAAAGATGCACCTATTACATCTAACATTCACAGTGTACACGGGATAGTATATAAATGAATCTCAAACTTGAGCTATATTTTGGTAAACCTTTATTGGTCTAGTATATATATCTTTTATGGTAAGGTTATTCTCTCTGTTGATTGTATTTTAAATATTTACGCTATTTCCTTTAATATATGGGGTGATCCATTAATAAAAGACAAATTAACCAGTCACCTGATTCGTTACACGACAATTTTCTGAGATGTTTCTTCCTACATTTTTGCTTTTTGCGAATTTTATGGAAAAACTTTATATAAGAATTTTAAAAATTTTCATTTGTAGTTTCATTTTTCATACTACTTGCAGTAAATTGCATTTATTTTAAATTAGTCTTCTTTGAATGCGGTTTTCCTTCCGAAGGGTAACAGATCATTGGAACACATTGCGGTATTGAACAATTGCTACAGAGTTTTAATCAGGAATGTCTTCTCCTTCATGTTGTTCTTCTTCCATTTATAACTTTTGAAAAAAATTTTACATGTTCTGTATGTTCTTTAATTTAGGTCACTAAGATAAGTCGATCACTTCTTATATTTTTGGTCACGAAATGTAGTAATACAAGTAATATTTATTTGTCCAATTAATGGATCACTTTGTATATCGTGTAGTAACATGGGAAACCTTATACTTAATGTCTAAAACTATAAACAATTTCTGTAAATTTCGTTCGGTTATAGGAAAACTTGGCAAAGAATCGTCACCGGGAAAAATCGTTTTCCAAAGTTTCTAATTTTAGAAAGCAATATTTTATTCGTAATATTTTACGTAAATCAATAATATGGAGTATGAGATTATAATAAAGTTATAAAAGTTTAGTTTTAGAAATAATATTTTAATTCCAGTGTAAATCACAATTAGCGGAAAAAGGAGAGAAAATAAGGATTTTTTAAATAGGTAACGATAATAAGATTATTATAATCTTATAATCATATAATTCACAAGAGAAAACCAGTCAATTTTCCATGATTTTCATCAATTTTCTCCAATGATGTTTCCAACGAGAACTATAAAGAGAAACATGAATCAATTTTTTCCTCCTACTAGTTATATATTAACATGAGAGAGTAAAATGTTAAGTACATTGGTGTCTTTAACCTTTCCCGACCATTATCGTCTCGTCTGTTATAAACATACTTTTTCTCAGTAATTTTTGGGGTTTTTGATACAATAAATTTATATTCATGGATAAATTGTGTATTTTTTTTATTGAAGGTTAAAACTGAACTCTCTTAAAGGCCAATAAAAAAATACTGCATCTATTTGATCTGAAGTTTGCGTATCAGATAACAAAATACTTCTTGGATCGCATAAACACATTGGACCACTTGACATCTGCTGATGCACATGGCTAGTTTATCCCTCTTACCCCCAAAGCCGTCACCATAGGGATTATGATTTGTTACAGTCTCTCCCCCTGGGGTCGAACTCATTAGAGGAGGGGTAAGCAGAAAATACAGGTTTCTTCCTGGGACACCCTCGTCTTCGTCTTGGCACTACAGGCGTGGGAACTCCACAAAGCCTGTAACTCACAGGTGATACCACTCTCTTGATTCTATAGGGCCAATCTCTCTTCAGGTAGAATTTAGCTGTCTGACCTTTCGATCTTTTACTGGGGGCGGTTGTTTTGGCCATACTAAATCTTTAAATGTACTGGGTTTCTTCAAAGGTCGATAAACATTCATCGGAGCTCTTTTTAGTCCAAAAACACATCCATAAGTACCGGTAAGTCCCTAACGGTGACACAAACGCAGTTTTATCACTTTCAGCTTCCACGACGTTAACCTGATGATATCCCGATCATCAGTCTGTGGTAGACATATAAAAGATTCGCTTAGCAGCATGTAATAAATCGTCCATACGCGACACCGAATAAGAGTCCCTTAGTATTACACACGACTTAGTAGTCACACTAGTAGTCACAGCACATAAACGTGGATAATCTACGCAAAGTCTCGTACCACCGTCTTGTTTCTGCACTATAACCGGCGCGGTCCATTTACTTTCATATTCTTTGATGATGCCTTCTTCCAGCAGTTTATTTAAGTCGCTTTTAAGGACTTCTTTTTTTGCAGGTGACATTCGGTATATTGGCAATGCGATTGGTGCCGTATTTTCAGCTCTTCCTTCATTCTGAAAGTATTCTTCCTACTTTCTAAAGTCATCGAGTCGAGCTCGTCCATATTTAGCTACCATCGTTCCTTCACATTTTCTTAAATTTTTCTCAGTAATAAATTTCAGTAGGTTCTGTACACTTAGCTTCAAACAATAACTACTGTCGTGGGCTTTCATTTGCAAAATGCGATTCTTTATTATGCAAATCTAAAGCTATCTCTGCATTAGTCAAACAATTTATACCAAGAAGAGTTTTACTAGGTGCATTAGGAAAAACTATAAACTTTTAGGCACGATTTTATCGTTTACTTGTACATTAACTACCTTTGTCAACATTCGTTCGTTTCTACTATAACACCATCAGCAAATTTTACAGAAATTTGTTCTCACTTAAATGTGCAATTATGGCTCTACATTTACAAACGAAAACGTCATCTGTCGTACTATATTGTTTCTCAGCAGATAGTTCGCGATAACATGATATGCCGATTTTTCGGACCAAACGTTATTCTTAAAAGCTTAACAAGTTCGTCCCATGTAGATATAGTATTTTTAACGCCTTGATATCATATAGCAGCAAAATCATTAAACATCGTTGCGATTCCTCGAAACGCGTTTTCGTTCGATACTAAATCGCAATATTTAAAAAATTCATTTATTTCGATGTTCTGTTTACCATCAAAACGCGAAGGTCATTTCGAAAGATTACCGACATATCGAATTCATTAATGGATTCTCCGAACAAATGTCGAAAATGTTGGCAAAATATGACATCAATTTTAAACATAAATTGCCAAAAACATCGGGAAAATATTTTTTAAAATTGAAACCCAATGTTCCTAAAAATCATCAGTCGTATGTTGTTTATATAATCAATTGTAAAGACTGAAATTCAACATACGTTGGACAAACATACCAATATCTAAATAGAAGGGTTGTTGCACATAAACATAGTGTACAAACCAACAAATTAAACATTACAGCCTTAGCTAAGCACTCTCTAGACAATAGCCGTGTTTTTGATTTTGAAAATGTACAGATTTGAGATAAAAAACAGAACTCCATCATAATGTATATAATATGGGAGATATGTATATTCACATAAAAAGACCAACGTTGTATCAATAATAAGACCGATCTCTCCAATATATATCGCACCTTAATAAACATAACAATATTAACTTTGATAAAATGAAAGACAGATATTGAGCACAATTTTATTAATTAAATCTTGCCCAAGTACTTTCGCTTTATAAAGCATCATCAGGCTCATCTGAAATAATCCAAGAAACGTTTTTTTTTATGAAGAAATTGATTAACTTGGATAAAAATCTTGAAGTTAATGGATGATAAAAGTTTTTTGTGATTAACGGTTTAGACTTACTTCGTCAATTTTGGGCTATCGAACAAGCGCAGAGTGTAGTAAACATAACATTAAACATAAAATTGTACAAACATTACACTAAACAAGTACAAACAGTTTAAAATTATTTTTACTGACAAAACTGTTTTTCCTTGTTTAGTGTAGTGTTTGTACAGTTTTATGTTTAATGTTATGTTTATTACATGCTGCGCTTGTTAGATAGTCCAAAATTGACGAAGTAAGTTTAAACCGTTAATTACAAAAAAACTTTTATCATCCATGCTTTAGAAAGCGAAAATACTTAGCAAGATTTAATTAATAAAATTGTGCTCGATATCTGCCTTTCATTTTATCAAAGTTCATTTATTCGAGCATTCAACCTTATATCAATAACAATATAATAAACTTAATAAATAAATGTTTCATTATTTTTATTTATAAACTCACATTTTGTAGTAGTTTGGTTAATGTACAAGGCAAGTAATATAGATTTTAGGAATTAGAACTTCTCGTTGAAAATAAATAACTTATTTTAGTGTTTTTCTCATACTCCATACTATTTTTGTCGTAAAATTAAACTATATAGTGTATCCAAAAGTATGTTGAACAAAAAACGTTGGTGTCAACTGTTAATATTTCTTTATAGTTTATTACACCCTTGCGAAGGTTGTGCTGCTCCTTACGGCTACAAACATGCCTTGAGACTATCTACAAATACGCAACTGTTTTCAGTAAGTCCGTGATAGCGTAACCCCCGCCAGCCAAATTATTTGAATAACTCTATTTTAATACTAAACCAATCACCCATTAACTTACTGAAAAACATATCCTATACATTTCTTTCTGTAAAGCTCTTTTTACTTTTCTAATAATATATTTTTCTAATTTTCCGGTGTTGGATTTTTTATATTTAGATGTTGCTGTAAATTATTTAACGCATTATATATAAAATTGTGTCTGGTAAAGTGTAGGTATACTTCTACATTAGTATGTCACAAAGAACATTAACATTATGCATAGAACCATAATAAGAAAAAATAAACTTTGGGATCAAATTTTGAAAACTACCCTTAACATGGCAAGAAAAAGGGCTAGACACTCTGTGCATTAAATTAGGCACTGATTGTGTACAGAGCAAACATTTGCTCTCTGCTTAGTAATTACATTACAAAAGCTGTGAAGTTTGAAAAGAAGAATCCTGCAAAAAGTAAAAACGGTACTGCTTCCTCTCCGAGAAAACCTTTCTATCACACGCACCATACACGAAATATTCTTGTCTTTGAGCAGGACTTCATCTGTAAAAAGCATTCGTAGCCGAAAATTCGTGGCCTAAAACACCTTGAAAACTCTTCGATTATCTCTTGGAAACGTAGTCACCAGATACTTCAAAAACACTTCCTCATGTTCAGATTCAATTACCACTTCTGCTAGCAACGAAATAACTGAAGAATATATTTATGTACTGTAGGAAATACACACATTTAGTGTCACTACATGAATAGCCAACGTTGAGGTTTGTGTTCCCACAGAAAGGAATTTTGCTGTTAGGGTTATAACAGCTACAGCCGACGCATTTCATAAACTAATAAAAATAAAACAACCTGAAAAGATCCCTTTAACAACAATATGTCCTCTCTATGCTATACCTACCTCTTCCGCAGCACATCAGACCACACAACTCACAATTTAAAGCGACCCAAAAAAATACACCCTGAAAAACCCACGAAAATCGAATTATCCCGGAAGAAAAATAATGATGATCAAAAAGAACCACTCCACGACGACAAGATCCACGCTTTCTGAGGGGTATGGAATGAATATACTATGATAGAACATTTAATTTTTTATAAATTAGTTATGACAACTAATTTATAAAATATGCAGCTGATGAATTAGCTGTAGAAATTAAAGAAAAGGCTTAGTAAAAAGTGAGGTACTACAGGTAGTTATTTAGAAGACATATGCCTACTTTTACCAGATTTGATAAAATCCTAACTGACTTATACTTTCTATAACAGTTTATTGTAAAAACGGATCATATTATTTCTTTACATAATTAACAGTCTCGATTTTTATTCCTTGTATCTAGTTATATTACTTTTAGCACACAAAAAGTTTGTTAAATAAATTGAATAAGTAGATAAAATATTTAGAATCAAAAAGTTCCATAAGGATCTTACCGTTGTTCTGAGTTTTGTTTTACAAAAATCCCCTGCAGACGCTATAAATCTAAGACTTCATAATACATCAATAAATACTGCTGTAAAGATTGTTCAAACTGTGGTGTTTTTATGGGCTTTTTATCGCAAAAAAAATCATATTGAGTCCGTAAAAAGTTTTTAATTTTTAATTTTCACTTTTTATTCATTTTAAATCGTCAAACCTTATGAGCTGATACAATTTCAGGTATAGATGATAGACAATTTCAGTTATATCTGAACGATACGATACAGTTCACAAGGTTAGCGGTTTCTGTAGATCTACACGCAATGGAGTCTTATGATATGTTTGTGCACCTGTTGTTTTATTTTTGTGTGTTGAATTTGCTTGGTGTTAAGCATTTTTTAAATAACGCTTCGAATGGCAAAGTTTTTATGTTTTTTTCTATCGTTAATAACGTTCTAGGTATTCAGCATTTTATAACAGGAATGAATAGTCTAATTAGGTGATAGATAACTTAGGTAGTGATACTAATACGTATTTTGAATGTTGTATTTATCGCATCATGAAAATATTATATAGGTGTTCAGATTTTGGGGCTGATGTAACTCTTGTTACTCTATTGTCTCTAAATTGTTAATACTAGGAATATTAGTAATAATCACCTCAAAATATGAATGCAGATAGAAACAATTTCTTCAGGCCTATTCTAGTTTGCCTGTATAAGTTACTCTACTAATTTTAACTGTAGTATCTTCAGATATTTTCCATTAAACATTAACTACCCCAACTTTTAACTAACTCTAGATATAGCTGTAACTAACTAAATTTTATAAATTACTTTACATTTAGGTACAATTATTTATTCAATCGCCAAAAAATATCCGCAAAGTATGTAATCACAAAATGCCATTGAATGTGAGTAGAGTTCATGAAATTTAAGTCAAAAATTAGTATTAATTTGATATTATTTCAAAATTATTTAACTCTTATTTAGACAAATATGTTCAACATCAAATTTTTAAGAAACCAACGTTTACGTTGGATTTTCACGATCTAACACAGAGTACTGATCGTTCTTGTTGGTCGTGATACCTCCCACAATGCCTTCATGTACCCGAAGAACATGTACCATGTCTCTTAGAAGAGGTCTTTTGAAAGAATATTTAGTTACCTTCCACCTCAATAAGTTCATATAATTTTGCTGCCTCAGGAAACAGTGTGTCATTTAGTTATCATTCATTTTCAACTAGACAAGTAAAATAGCTATGGTATTAGCTGCAGTTTTTCCTCGATCAAATTTTTGACAAGATAAGTCACTAATTTTTAGTTTTGTACAAAAGTAAAGACTTGTTAGTGTTCACCAAATTTCAAAAAGATCTTAAACCAATGATAACAATTATTTTTTTTGTAATAATATTTTCTTTTGTGATACATTTCTGTTTGAATGAAATTTAAAAAATACTCCAAATATATAAGGTCGTTTGATCTCTATTTTTTTTCATACAGGCTCGTCAGTCACCGTTGGAAGTGTTTAAACATTTTCTCGTTGCAGTTTTCAGCCTTAAACTGGACCTCTTTGTTTATAATTGCAAAATAAATTAATTACTATTTAAATGGGAATAAGCCACAATTAAAGGTTAAAGTACGTTTATTGACGTTTCAATTTCCACCAGAACGAATTCCGAAGTGGAAATTGAAACATCAATAAACGTACTTTCTTTAATTGTGGCTTATTCCCATTTAAATAATGATTAATTTAGAATGCCACAAGAAAATAGCTTCAGAACAATATTGCAAAATAAATATTTCAGAAAAGATTGATGTAATTTAGATCTGTCTGGAGCAGCCTGTGCTGCTGTTTAATCTTCTTCCTCCTGTCGCTTCTGATTGAGCATAGGGTAGTTACGTTTCTATCGCAGTAGTCGGTGTAATATTGGCATGTTTGCTACTTCTTCGCATAATGGATATCGTTTGACCCTAATTCCTTCCATTTTTTACCTGTCCTTTGCTAATCCCTTCACCTCTCTCCATATTTGCTTCTCTCTCCGTTTACCTAGCTATGCATTTAGCGTTCTCCACACTCTTGTCTTCTCTCTAGTATGTCAAAATTCAGGGCTTGTATCGATATGTTCTTTTTTTTTGTTCTCTTTTTTTTGTTTTCTTAGAGTGTGGCCTATTCATTTCTATTCTCTTCGTATGATGGTCTTCTCAACAGGTTCTTTCCCTAATTCACACAGGTTTATTTTACTAATCTTGTTTGGCCATAAAATGGTACATACAATTTTCAAGAATGTATCAATGAACGTCTATACGTTCTTTACAAGTATTTTGTCTGCCGTCTAAGTTTTTGCTCAAAAGGACTGCATAGACATTTGAAGGAAATATGTTTAGCTCTTCTTTCTTTCTTGGCTCAACAACTCGTAATGAATCTTGACCGCGTTTACTACTTTACTCCTTCCTTGCCGGTCTAGTGCAACAATATCCCATTATTGTACCTCCATCATTCGTTATTGTATCCTTTCAAACTGACCTTCCGTCATCTATATGGGCCTTTTATATAGAAGTTTGTATTTAGTAGTCTTTCATCATTCGGTGTCAGTACATATCATGCCCATCTTATATGAATTGCCTTGATATATCCTATGTTTTGTCTACATAGAGTACACGGAGTTACTGGTCATGTCTTCGTCTCTACTCTCCTGTTATTTCGTCTCTAAAAGTTCCAAGGACTGTCCGGAGGTTGTTCCGTTCTAAGACTAATTTTGTTGTTTCACGCTTGTTTAGTGTCCTCTATAATGGGGCGAATTATAGTTTTATATACCTTTATTTTAGGTGTCTTTGAGGGCAATTTTGATTTAAGTAGCGTCGCTAGGGAGTAAGACGTCCTAGTTTCTGACATGATTCTCGCTTACTTACTTACTCCGTGGCGTTACAACCCTTCGTGGGTTTTAGCTGACTCGACAACATGCATCCACTGTTTTCTGTCTTGAGCAACATCCATCCAATTCTCCACGCCCATAGTGCTTAGGTCTCCTGCTATATTATCTCGCCACCGGAGACGAGGGCGTCCGCGTGGTCTCCTTCCAGTTGGGACTTCCTCCCACACCAGTCTTACTGTTCGTTCGTCAGAATGTCTTCTGAGGTGTCCTGCCCATTGGAGTCTTCTGGACTATTTCTTTTATGATGTTGGCGTCTGGGTAAAGTTCTTCGAGCTCTTTGTTAGTTCTTATCCTATATTGTCCTGATGCTTCATCCAGTACAAGACCAAAGATCTTCCTTAGGATTTTTCTTTCCTAAACACATAGTCTCTCTTCGTTTGCCTTTGTTATCGTCCACGTTTCGCTTCCATACATCACAACGAGTCGTATGATTGTTTTATAGACCTGTATCTTCGTACGTCGTGTTAGTTGTTTCGATTTTATAAGGTTTTGGAGGGCAAAAAAGACATCTGTTGCCGGCCTGAATCCTGTTGTTTATTTCTTGTGATCCGTTATTGTCTTCAGTTATTGTTGTTCCAAGATACTTAAATTATCTAACGCGCTCAAAGTTAAAGTCGTCGATGGTGATGTTCTGACCGATTCTGTCTCTGCTTTGATTATTCCGGCTCATATACATATATTTCGTGTTGTCTTCGTTGATTTGGAGCCCCATCTTCTCTGCTTCCTTCTCGAACCTCACGAAAGTCTCCTTCATCCTTAATCGTGTGTTTCCTATTAGATCGATATCGTCTGCAAATGCCAGTGCCAGTAGTAAGTTTGGTCATTCTCGATGAAACACTATATTAGGTTTTCCGATTCTTTCACTTCTGATTATGTGCTCCACAGCTACATCTTTTTCATAGCTGTTTTCGGCTGTTATCACTGCTTTAAGTATTTGAATTCTTTGGACAATTTTGAATCTTGTTTATTTGTTGGTCTTGGATTTTTGGTAACTACCATGTACTTGGTCTTATCTTCGCTGATCTTAAGTCCGATTTCCCTAGCCCCTCTTTCAAAAATGGTAAAAACATCTTTCGTACCTCTATTGGATTAAGCACTTGTGTAAACATCGTTTACAAAAGCTAGCAGTATATTCGCTTTCTGGCTAACGAAGCCATTTGTTAATTTTGGTTATGCTTTCCTAACTGCGTCTTCTAAAGCGAAGTTGAATAACAAAGGGTAAAGTGGATCGCCTTGTCTTAGACCCGTTTCGGTTTGAAACTCATCTGATGTACTGCTGCCAATTCTGATACGTGCACATGAATTCTGCGCACAGATCTGGGATAATCCTACTAGTTTTCTGGGTACTCTCATTTCGACCATTACTTTCGGCAGTATATCCGTTAACAAAGTCCTACGCTTCTTTAAAATCCACACAATTTTTATGTAAATCTTTGTCATTTTTAGCTTTGTGCTAGTGGTTATTCATTTGTGTTCCGTATCTTGTTTAGGCCATTTCATATTGTCCTTGTCACACTGTCCACTCCTATGCTCCTCAGGTACCAAAATTCCTCTACTTCTTCAAGCTGTTTATCGTTCACCGTTATATTTTTGTTTTGTGTATCGTTCTGTGGGAGAATTTTTGTATTGTTTGTTTTGTTTTTGTAATCCAGTCGATTGTGCAACTGTTGTAAGTTTATTTATTTTCAATTGCATATGTTCTATAGTACAGGTTAGGTATATATCGTCTGCAAATCCCATAGATATAATAGCTAGACTAAGCACTGCAATATAGACCCATTCCCCCAGTGCGACAGCGAAAAATGATGCAAAGCTGTCTCTGCATATCTTTCTAATGGGTGGGGTCTATTGCCACGTCATGTTTTAAATACCAAACACAAGTGAGGTAGCAACTTAAATATAACATATTTGATAGCTTCGGTAGCTACGCGGTATTTTTTCTGCTTTTTTACCTGGATGATTGAGGCTTGAATCTTTCATTATTTTTTTTATTGATATAAATTTAATATTAATTAATATTACGTTTATTAGATAAATCCATAAATACATTTGATTTATAGAGCTGTAAATTTGAAATAAAAAATGGAGAAATAATAAAAATGAGAAATAAGTCAGATGAAAAGACAAACAGATATTTGTTTGTCTTTTCATCGTTTAGTCCATTACTATGAGGAATAATATTCAGGTTTCCATTATGCTCTCTATATTTCCATATATACTCTGTTCCTTTTCTCCAGCATTTCGAGGATTATTTTCAACGTGCATATGTTATCGATCCCTGATATTCCGGGTCTGTAAACTGTTTGATTCTCCCACAGTGTTCTCTCTGTAGAGTTTTCATTTTTTTAACTATAATTCTGGCCATGATTTTGCTAGATGTGTATAATAGAAACCCTATTAACAATATAGTAGGTATTACATGCATTGTACATTATTCCTCCCTTGCGGACTATCAATGGTCGCGAGAGATGTAAGGTATATATAATTTGTAGAACACGTAAATCTAGGCCACACTTCAGCCCTCGAAAACACTGAATACAACCCTGAACCTGAAATTCTGCTGTCCGAGATTGAAGAAGCTGTAACTCACCTCAAGAAGAATAAATCCCCTGGCTGCGATGATATCACGGGAGAGCTCCTTCAGAACATGGGAGACAAAGGATGTTACATAATGTGGAAACTTTGTAATAAAATTTGGAGATGCGGAAAGTGGCCCAGAGAATGGCGCACATCATTGTGCATACCAATCCATAAAAAAGGAACAACTACAAAGTGTAGTAATTATCGTACCATCTCACTGATTTCCCATCCAAGCAAAATATTACTAAGAATCATTAAACGCCGTTTGCAACAGTACTTAGACAACCAAATTCCCCAAGAACAAGCAGGCTTTGTCAAAGGGAAGGGTACGAGAGAGCAAATCCTTAATATGCGGCAGCTCATAGAAAAGGCCCGCGAATTTAAAATTCCAATAATAATCTGTTTTCTAGACTACCAAAAGGCATTTGATTGTGTAAAGTGGGAAGTTCTCTGGACAGTTCTTCATGAGATGGGAGTTCCAGATCATTTGGCAATATTAATTAAAAACTTATACGAAGATAACTCAGTTAAAATAAGAATTGAAAACCAGCAATCTGATATCTTCAAAACCAGCAGAGGTGTACGACAAGGCTGCATACTATCTCCAGACCTGTTCAATTTATATGGAGAATACATAATGAGGAACGCACTCGATGGATGGAGAGGCGGCATCTCCATTGCAGGGAAAAAGATCTCAAACTTAAGATTCGCAGACGATACAACACTGATAGCAACATCTGAAGAGGAGATGTCGAGACTGATAAAGAGAGTAGAAACCGAAAGCAACAAGTGTGGGCTCAAGATTAATAATCAGAAAACAAAAATCATGATTGTGGACCAAGCGAATATCCTCCAAACAACAGGCGCCCTAAATCAATTCGAGAAAGTAGACGAGTTCACGTATCTAGGATCTTCCTTAAGCAATGTAGCCTCCTGCCATACGGAAATTTGCAGAAGAATAGAAATGGCCAAGAACGCGATGAGTCGACTGTCAAAAATATGGAAGGACCGCTCTTTGTCCAAAAAACTCAAAATGAGACTGGTACGGACACTCGTTTTTTCAATCTTTAGTTACGGTGCCGAAACATGGACAATAAAATCAGAGGATAGGAAAAGGATTGACGCATTCGAAATCTGGTGCTGGAGACGAATGCTACGCGTCTCGTGGACGGAGCACAGATCCAATCAGTCGATTCTCGAAGAGCTAAACATTCAGACAAGACTCTCCTCTCAGTGTCTTGCAAATGTTTTAAAGTTTTTTGGCCACATTGCGAGAAGAGATAATGACAACTTAGAAAGACTAATTGTGTGCGGAAACGTAGAAGGACGTAGAGGCCGAGGACGCTCACCTATCCGATGGTCAGATCAAGTACAGAAAGCCACTGGAGAGACGTTTTCCGAGTCCATGAGAGCAGCCCAAAATCGCAAGAGATGGAGAGAATTGACAGCCCGCATTGTAGGGAATCACGATCCTCAGCAATGAGGAAACGACAAGAGAGAGATACAACTTCAAAATTTCACTTTTCCTCGCTACATTTTGGACCAGTTTTTTTTTTATATTTAGCTCCATTGTTTGGTCAACACCATTACTTCTACGAGACTTTGTTCATTTGAAACCCATCTTCGGCCCAGAAAAAGTTGATATTACATAATTTCACCAACCCATGTATTTCCTGCTTAAAGGATTCTTGTGGCTGTTGCTACTTTTACGACATTTTTTACTTCTCCATTCGACTGAAAACGATTACCTTTTATCCTTTTTCAGTGGCCCAAAGATGTAGAAATCGCAAAGCGATAACTGTTGACTATAGGGTGGGTACTTTTAATTATAATTTAATATGTTTAATTATAATTTAATTTATAGTTGTAGATTGTCTTTCACTACTTTCGTAATATGAGGCCGAGCATTATCGTGCAGAAAAATGACTCCACGTTGGAGGTTTCTTGGACCATTTCCTCTTGTTGCTTCACGGTGCTTCTTTACATGTAGGTTTGCGTTGATATACACCCTAGGCTTGAACTACAGTTACACGATTCACACATGTTCTCTAGTCAGGATATTTTTCTTGGGCCTACACTTCTTTTTCTCTCTGTTTTATCTTAAATTAATAATTAAGAAACCCTCTTCTAAGATCTTAACCCTTGCTGTCTGATTGCAGTATATATTTGAAATAATTCTTGTTTCTACTATCTAAAGCATTGGCGTTTATAATTTGTAATATTGTGTGTTGTTAAACTTTAGCCAAAGTCGTTTCGAAATCTATGAAGCATACATACACTTTTTAATTTATATAAAGGCATCGTTGTGCAAGAATTTTTAATCCGAACCGAACTTTTTTACTGCCAAAACCTTGTCTAAATTCCACTTGCAATATTTGTTTAACACACCATTTCTATGGATTAGTTGTGAATTATTTTCAAATAAAGCTTCATTGTGTGACTTTAGTGCCGTAGTGTGATGTGCACTATAGTTCTTTGTATTCTCTTCACAAACTTATGCTTTGATACTATTAACATTATTGTGAATAGCGGGTCTGGTTAAAGTCATCAAAAACTCTGTACAATTGGATAAATTGGATTTGATAAATCTTCACCAGTTCTTACATTAACCAATAACATTGTAGGATTCTGTTCTAGCACCGGCTACTTTACCAGTTTTTATTGAAAGAAATTGTCGCTAAAAGATTTTCAAAAGTAAACATGTTATAAAGATTACAAAACATCAAAAATCTGCTTTTTGACTTTAATTTTAAACGAACTAGAAAGCATTTGGTAGCATTTTATATGCTTTTAAAACGCAAATTCAAGTGATTTTTGCGCAGTAAAAACAAAATTTTGCATGTTTTTGTAAAAATAAAATTTTAATAAATTCAAAATGACTATAAAAAAATTGTAAAAAATGTAAAGTAATTTATTATTTCACTTTTGACTGGACATATCTATTATTTTTTAATTTATATAGCGTATGGTGAAACAAGCTAACGTTTCTGGTAATTTGGACGCACCCGAGGGAGGTTTCGATGCCATAATGCAAGCTATTGTATGCCGTAATGAGATTGGTTGGAGAGAACAAGCTAGAAAATTGCTGGTATTTTCTACAGACGCCAGTTTTCACTACGCTGGAGATGGAAAAGTAAGTATATCGATATTAGAATTAAAAAACTATTAAGCCATAGCTTCTTCTTCTTTAAGTTCCATCTTCTATCGAAGGTTGGAAATCATCATGGCTATGCGGAGTCTGTTGACTGCCGCTCTAAAAAGTTCTGCACTTCTGCATTCAAACCATTCCTTAAGTTCTTAAGCCAGAATATTCTTCGTCTTCCCACATTTCACTTTCCTCGAATTTTGCCCTGCATAATAAGTTGTAATAATGCGTATTTTTGCCCTCTCATCACATGTCCCAAGTACTCAAGTTTTCGTCTTTTAATAGTTAATATTATTTCCGCCTCATTTCCTATCCTTCTAGTTACTTCCATGTTTGACATTCTTTGATACCATGATATTCGTAGGATTCTTCTGTAACACCAAAATTCAAAGGCGACCAACTTATTCAGATGAACTTGTTTTAGTGTCCAAGCTTCCAAACCATAAAGAAGAGTAGAGAACACGTAGCATCGAAGCATTCTCAGGCGTAGTCCTAACCTTATATCCCGACAACAAAGAAACTTTTATCAAGTTTAATAAATGATGTACGTGCTATTTCAATACGTGTCTTAATTTCTTTGGTTTGGTCTACATCTGATGTTATCCATGTTCCTAAGTATTTATAGTTATTAACAGTCTCAATTGCAGTATCTTCAATAGTCAATTGGATATTTGCATGTGCAGATTTAGTCATGATCATGCATTTAGTTTTCTTTAAATTTATCTTCAGTCCGTACTCATGACAGCGTTCATTAAGGCGTTGCATTACGTTCTGTAAATCACTGTTGTTATCCGTAATTATTACTGTATCGTCTGCAAAACGTAAGTTATTCAAAACTTCTCCATTGATAGATATACCTTCTATTGAGTCTGAGAGCGCTTCTTGAAATACCGCTTCACTGTAGACATTGAAAAGTAGTGGGGACAGCACTCAACCCTGGCGGACTCCTCCCTGTATTTTGATATTTTCGGTGTACTGGCTGTCAACTCTTACCTGGCAGTTTGATTCCAATATAAATTAGATATAATTTTCAGATCACGACTGTCAATATTTTTGCTTTTTAATATATCTACAAGCTTTTTATGTTGAACTTTATCAAATGCCTTTTCAAAGTCTACAAAACATAAGTACCTACAAATCCTGGTTCATGTCCATGCATCTCTGAGCCAGCACATTCAAGCCGAACAAAGCATCTCTTGTACTCATACCATTTCTAAAGCCAAATTGTGTATCACTAATCTCATTTTCAAGAGTTTTAACAATTCGGCTGTGAATTATTTTCAAAAATGTTTTAAGTGTTTAAAGTGATTTCTAATGACAGTTCTTCTCGTTCATCATTAAATAGTTGTTGAATGTAATTGGTCCAGTGACAATCTCTCCTTCATATCAGTAATAATATCCCCTTTATCATTTTTAAGGATATTCGTTTTTGTACGCTTTCTAGAACCTGTCATTTCTTTGATTTTTTTGTGTAAATTAAAGCTATCGTACTTTTTATTCAGATCTTCTATTTCCTTGCATCTGTCGGAGAGCCACCTCTCTTTTGCCTCTCGAATTTTCTTTCTGATGTTTCTCTGAATTTCTTTGTATTTATTCAGGTCTTTTGCTTTATGTTTTCTTCGTTCTTCCATGAGTTCAAGAATTTCTACTGTCATCCAAGGTTTTGTTTTTTCTTTAAGTGGTTTGAGGGTTTCTTTTCCAACTGACACTAGGGCATGTTGAATTTTTCCCCATTTTTGGTCAATAGTTAGAGTTTCTGCATTATCTTCTTTGACTTTCCTTAAGCTCTCGTTTATTTTAAATTTGGTTTCCACATATGTGTTGTTTTGTTTGAGACGTCTTGTATCTATGATTTTTTTGGTGCTAGGGCTGTTGACCTTCTTTAGTTTCACTCTCATCGACAAAACAACCGGGTTGTGGTCGGAGGATATGTCCGCTCCTGGATAAGTTTTAGAAGATATTATAGAATTTCTATACCTTCTGTTGACGATAATATAATCTATTTGATTTCTGACTATTTTGTTGTTATTGTCAGCTGGTGACCTCCATGTATTTAGTCTACGTTTAGGAAGTTTGAACAAGGTATTTGTAATTATGAGTTCCTCATTGACACAGAAATCGACAAGCCTATCGCCACGTTCATTCCTTTCCCCGAGTCCATATCGCCCCACGCAATTCTCCACTTCTCCTTGGCCAACTTTAGCGTTCAAATCGCCCATTATAATAAAGCCATAGCTAGACAGTCAAAATTATGATTAATTTTTAAGGAAATTGTAGGACATTATATATGGAAGAAAAGGAAGATAAATTGTGTGACTGTTGCATTACTAGCTATAACCAAAAAATTATTTTTATCGAAGTTTTCATACTTAAAAATAACAGATGTCTCTTTATATTATTCTTTCAGCTCGGAGGTATTGTAAAACCCAACGACGGATTGTGCCATTTATCCCGCGAAGGCTTTTACACACAGTCATCTTACCAAGACTACCCCTCAATCGAACAAATCAACTTAAGCGTAAAGAAAAATTCAATCAACGTCATTTTTGCCGTCACCAAAACCACTATTGACATCTACGAACAGCTCGCCAAGACTATCGAGGGTGCATCAGTGGGAAAATTGGAGGGCGACAGTTCAAATATCGTTTCCCTTATTAAAGAACAGTATGAACAAATTTCTTCCACGGTTCAGATGAAACATAACGCCTCTGCTGCACTGAGTATTAAATTTTTCACCAGGTGTTTGAATTCCACAGGAGCTTTGGTTAATACCAATAAATGTGGAAATATAAAGGTAGGTTCATATTTTGCATATGCGTAATGTTTTACATTGGCTCCTTTGAAAGATAGCAATACGAAATTTGCTTGAACATACCCAAAATATTTTTCAATACATATGTGCTATAGCCATCGTCAGGTCTTTAAATTTAAAGTAAAATTCATTAGTAAACTGTTTACCTCTGTAAATTAGGTTCTTTTTACCTTTATATTTATTTAAATTCTGATTATTTTTAAATTTGTTGCTATTAGTTATGCAATCAATAATAGTCATCGTTGAAACCACTCATCGTTTCATTTTTATGATATATTTTATCTAGTATTTATGGTTTCTTGGATTGTGGCGTTATACACATATATCCAAAAGTTTGGAATAATGGAATATTTCACCTTTTTATTGATTTTTATATACAAACTCTTCTGAATAGTTAAACATCATTTGGTTCAATTCTCAACAATACTAAATAAATCTCAAAACGAGATAAACGATATACAAAAAATATTTATTCTCTTGGAGTGAAAAATTTACAATGTACAACTTACATTTAAAAATAAATTAGTATAGAAAAAAATAATTTTTAATAAAACTAATAATTAGTATTTCCTCCATTAGCCTGTATGTAAGCCTCTCCCATTATTGAGAATGTCCCAAGCATGTTCAATAACGTTTATGTCGGGAGAATTCGAGGGCCATTGTAATCTAGATATACGTTCTTATTCAAGAAAATTTTGTAGTGCTACTGTTCTATGGAGAGGTGCGTGGTCATGAATAAACACAAGTTTATCACCTACTGCCCTTCGGAATAGACGTACGACAGGATTTAAAACTTTCTCGATGTGTACAGCACCAGTGACTCTTCTCTCCACAACCAGCAGTGGCGTCCGTGTACCACTCATAATAACATCCCATACCATAATACTACCACCTTCAAATGGGACACGCGGTTGGGCTGCTTCTAGTCGGGCTTGTCGTCCTGGGGCCCTCCAAACCAGTGTTATTCGCGAATCATATACCAACCCAATTTTTGACTCATCAGAGAACATCACATTATTCATGTTAGGACCATGATGCATAATTTCTCTAGCCCATTGCAACCTTACTATTTTGTGTTGGTAGGTTAGTTTAGGAACACGTAGCGGTCTTCTACGATACAAATTTACCGCATTTGGTCTGCGTGTTATAATTTGCCGTGAATTATTCAGTTCTTGACCCCTAGAAATTTCTCTAGATATACCACTCTGTAGATTCCAGACGATTTCTACGAGCTATCAATGTTATTTGCCGGTCTTGTGCTGCTGTTGTTTATGAACTTCTGCCACTTTTGGGACGATCTTTGACATCATTTTAATCTTGAATCTTTTTTTTATTTTCGAAACAGCACTCTGAGTAACATCAACAATATTCGTTGTAACTTCGTTGTAACGCTGTTGTAACAAAGCAATTACTCTAGATCTGTCAAAATGACATATCCTAGGCAGTTTTAAAGGGCTCAATTCAAATTTAAATAAAGACTGAAATAATGTACAAATACGCTAATCAGTTGAATGTAACCAAAATCATACAAAAACGATTCAATTTTTTTATCATTTTCATTTAAAAACGCTCTAGAATAAATATCAACAACAGTTTTAAACTCGCCATAAGCGTAGATATATTACTTGTACGTATTCCAAACTTTTGGACATGTGTGTATAATGAGAATTCATTCTCCAGATTTAATTTGGAGTTTATTTCTACAAATCTGTAGAATTTTTATGTTTTGAGTTCGATGTATTTTCTATTTTTGGTTATATATACTTTTCAACTAAATTTGGAGTATTTTATTTACGTGAGGGAGGAAAACCTGCAAAAGATTGAATGTATTGTGGGATTTATACACCATCGTTTCTAAACCATCTACTGCTGCATTCTAAAACGTTCTCGGTTTATTATTTCGCTTCCTCTCCAATATTTATTTCCCTTTCATTACCATACTCGTGGTTCCAATCTTGTTCGCTAAGGAGTATCACTTCGAGCTGGCGTAAATTTGGGCCTTATTAGTTAGTGACAATTCCACAAAATTTTATATAAAAAAATTGTTTGTAGCTTTCATATTATTTTTTAACGTGTTTACTTAATTTACTTTCCTAAACTTATTTAAATTTTAGGTCGGCGACGTTGTAACGTTCAAAATCGATATAGAAGTCTTAAAGTGTCCTAAAAACCGAGCAGATCATTTCCAGACTATTCAGATATACCCGGTTGGTATCAATGAAAGTTTGACCATCGATTTAGAAATGTTATGTGAATGTAACTGCGAAAGACCCGGCGACAAAGTAAGTTTAATGATTTACTAGTATATAGTTCATTATATTTTTATCAATAAAACACCTATATACTAGGATCTATAATATGTATATACTAGAAATATTTATTAGTAGCTCCTTTTCTAAGTGATGTTTATTGATATTATTAATATTTTGTTTGTCAATTTGTATTCATTTGTAATATATATATATACATATATATATATATATATATATATATATATATATATATATATATATATATATACAGTGTGTTAAGTTTTGGATTAGGTATACACTCTATAAATGGCAACACTGCGCGTCGTCGACTTGCACTACATATCTGCTTAGATTTATTTTCTGTGTTTTTTGAGGGAAGACCAATTCCTTGTGTACAGTCAATTTATAATATTGTTAAAAATTTTGAGAGTTGTTATTGCCTCAAAAATTGCAGAAAATGTCACGCTCAAGCAGTGTTACCAGAAAAAGTTGAGGAAAGAGAATACCGGGATACACAAATTTGTGCAACAATCGAGGTAGATTCAACACGTTCAAGTAGAAGCGTTGCTAGATAGTTAGATGTTAGCAATGTTACTGTAACGAAAGTATGGAAAAAGTACGGTTACAAGAATTTTAAATATTCGAAAACGCAGTAGCTTTATCCAGACGATTACTTTCGAAAAATGGAGTTTTGTGAAATTCTAATAACGAAGGCTAATAGTGAACCAAATTTTATTAAAAACATTTTATTCACTGATGAATTTTCTGTTTCGTTAGTAGGGAGACACAATCCTTCCATTATGAGGTATTGGGCGCGGGAAAACCAGCACAGAAGTGTTGTTTACCGAACTCAACGTCCTCAAAAAGTTAACGTCTGGACTGGCATTTTAGGAGACCACATAATAGGTCCATTTTTTATTGAGGGCAACTTGAATAGTAGAGTATACCTCGATTTGTTACAGAATCATGTTGTTCCCGCTATTCTCAATCTTCCTGATGTAAATCTGGAGAATGTTTGGTTTCATCATGACGGCTGTTCAGTTCACAACGCTCGAATTATTAGGGAGTATTTAAACAATACTTTCCCGAATCGAGTTATCAGTGGAACAGGCGATATTAAGTGGCCTGCGCGATCTCCAGATCTTACACCCATGGACTTCTTTTTTTGGGGACATTTAAAAAGCATTATCTACGCTCATCCTGATTCTAGAGCCCAAAATTTGGATGAATAAAAAAATCGAATAAAAGAAGTCTCCAATTCTGTTACAGCAGAAACTCTTTCATCTGTTCGCAGAAGTTTTTATGGCAGATTGGGGTACTGTTCAGCCATAGGTCAACTATTTGAACCATTTCTGTAGGTCATAAAGAATTATTTTTTATTTTATTAGGAATAATATTTTAATTTTCAATAAGAGTATATTTTTTATTTTATCTTTTTAAAGAAATACGCTTTTATTTTTAATTCAACCACAAAAAAATTTTCACATTAATAAAAATCGATAACAATGCACCGATTAGGTCAGTGCATTTTTATCGAATTTCCTACTTTTAAAATCGGCTATACGTAATGAAACATGAGATCGGACGACAGTGAAGTACATCCCAAACGTTGTTGTGAGTTACTAAACTAAAATAAATGATTTTCTGTCGGTGTAGATACTGAGATAGTCTCGGGTCGGAGAACGAACATTTGCAACGTTGCCGATTTTAGCGCTCCGTATAATGTGCAATACCTAATCAAAAACTTAACGCACTGTATATAAATGGAATTTATTCTACGGAGTATAGGCTTTTTACTACAATAATTCAGATTCCCTGATTTGCAATTAACCAGTATAAATTTCCATATAAGGTCGCGATGTTTTATAATTATTATGTTTGTTCCACTGGATTACTGCATTTGTAGCAGCGTATTTGGCACGCGAAAACCGACAGTGTTGTTTCGTCTACCGATATTTTTGTGAAACTCCGTATTATAGGGATATATTAAGGTATTATTTGAATTGGTTAATTTATACTTTAATACATTTAATATTTCAAATATTGTTGATAATTTAAAGTTTAAAAAGGTGTATATTATGATACATCGAAATCTACGGATTTTTGCTGAAGGTATCTACTGATTTGGCAACAGTCTCAAGGAACATCACTGGCCGAGCAAATCAAATACCTTTGCTTCTCCTTGTAATGCCATAATCTGAAATTAAAGTAGTGTTTCTAACCATGCAAACAAACGAAGAAAAAGTACAAATTTTAAAATGGTATTTATTTACTTCTGCCTATGAGGATAGGTCAATACCGACACAATCAACTAAGAGTCGTATTATTAAAAAAATTGATTCGTTTGGTTGTATACAAAACTGTCGAAATATACGGATCTACCACGAGAGAAAATAATCAACGAAGTTCGGCAAAATTGGGAAATTGATGTTTGTAGCGTTGCTGAAACTAGTGATCCTTGTTTAAGCAATACTATTGCTGAAGAAGTTGACATGAATGATAGGACTGTCAGGAATATTTTGAAACGAAACTGTTACCGTTGTTTTAAAGTTTCAACTACTCAACATTTATTACCCGAGGACAATTTCAAACGCATGGAATTTTGTGAACTCATGATGAATAAACAAAATGAAAATAACATATTTTAAAAAACATTTTGTTTACCGATGAATCGACATTTTCGGTACCTCGGAAACATAATCGTTCTGTCGTACGATATTGGTCTCCGCGTAAGAAACACTTCCAGTACTAACACAATATACCCAAAAACTTGTTTGGACATGTATTTTGGTTGACTATATCGTCGGTCCAGTTTTTATTAATGCAAATTTAACGGGGAATAAATATTTAGAATTGTTGCAAAATCAAATTATTCCAGCAGTTCAATTACTTCCTCTCAACGTTGACGATATTTGATTTCAGCAAGACGGCTGTCCTGCTCACAATACACGAGCAGTTTAAAATTATTTAGAAACCGTTTTCTAAATTCGAAATTCTAATTAGAAAGTGTACCGAATATAAATTAAACATTTTTTATTAGAATTATCGCAATAGCTGTTAACAAAATTAAAAGAGAACTCCATAAGTAAAAATATGGTAACAAAAAAAAAATTAAAAACTAATTTGTTGTCCCTCAATTCCCAACAAAGTAGTCTTTAGGTTGTTAGTGCAGTCTCTGACCTCCACGGTTGTTGATTACTGTCCTACAACTGTAAGAAAAACTCATGATCAGATGGCCAATGTCTTGCTGCGGTATTCTGTTCCACTCTATTGAAAGGTCCTCATACAGTTGCTCACTTGTATTGAACGCAACATTTTGTTATAAAATGGGTCTGCCCAATATGTCCCATGGAATGCTCAATTGGAATTAAATATGGCGATTGTGCAGGCCATGGTGAAACCTCAATTTCATTATCCTCGATGAATGTTCACAGGATCCTGGCATTATGCGAACGCACATTGTCGTGCATTAATTGAAATTGGGGACCAGCTTGTTGTGTAAAGGGTACGACAATAGATTGAAGAATATTATCGCGGTAGTCTGTTGCATTTAAAAAACCGTTCCAGACAAACAGGATTGGTTCTTCCACCAAGAGTGATGCCACCCCATACCATTATACTGCCGCCTTGTTGTCTATGAACCTCCTGCGCATTGATCAATCGTTCAGCGTTGCCAGATCGTCTCCAAATACTTGTCCTTCTTGTATCTGGTGCAAATCCAAATGGGGACTCATCAGTGAACAAAATATAGGCCCACTCACGTCTGATCCAATTTGCGTGTTCTTGTGCCCATTGAAGTCGATGAACGCGATTTCCTCTGGATAACACAGGTCTTCGAGCATTTAACCCTACTTGATGCAGTCTATTTCTAATGGTTTGGCGACTTACAAATACCTAATGGGTCTCTTGCAGCCTCATTTGTAATTGTGATGCAGTTATAGTGCGATTTCGCAAAGCATGCAACCTAATAAAAATGTTTTCAATCTGGTTCGTTATCCTTGTACGGCCTGTATGACGTTCAGCAACATCACCAGTCTCTTAACACCTTAACCACAAACGGTTAATGACACTTCTGTTCGTGTGGAGGACCCCAGCAATGTCTCTTTGACTTCTGCCAGCTTGAAGCATCCCGATAGCACGCCACTGCGTTTCGCGATTTAAATGATGTCTCTCCATTATTCGCAATCGCAAAACTAAATAAAAATCCACATAGTTGTAACAACAATTGACATTTTTTTTTATTGCTGAATATAGGCTTCTCCTAATTCTCGCCATTCATCTCTGTTGTTTGTAAGACGTTTCCACATTGGTCGTGCAGTTATTTTACTATCGTCGCTCCAGCGCATTTGCGGTCTTCCTCGCGGTATTTTGGCTTCATATAGCCGCCAATTCCAGATTTCTTTATTCCATCGGCCATCCTTAAGACATTCGTTATGTCCAGCCTATTTTCATTTTAGTTTAGCTGCCTGTTAGACAGCATCTTTTACTTTTGTTCTATTACGAATGTCTTCATTGGTTTCTTTTATGGTCTTTGAGTGAGATACCCAGCATCTGTCGTTCCATAGCTCTCTGAGTTTTTCTGATCTCCATGTTTATTTTAGTGAATGTCCAGGTTTGAGTTTCATATGTAAGTATATGTAGGATACAGGAATTATACATTTGGTTCACAGTCTTTGAGGTATATTTTTATTTTTAAGTACGTATGAGAGTCTTCCGAACACTGCCCATCCCATTTTTACATGTCTGTTTATTTCGGTAGTCTAATTTTCTTTGCTTACCTTGACATTTTGACCCAGATATGTATATTTCTCTACAGTAATGGCAAATCCCACTCCTTTGGAAAAATCCACATAGACATCGAAAATCAGGTACCAGTAAAGAAATCACTTTCTGTCTTATAGACAAAAAACTCATTGCAGTTTTGTTAAATTTTGTATATCCATTCTTATCAGGATTACCGTACAAGTTCCTACAATAATCGACAAAACAACCAAAAAGATTAAAACATAAATTTATTTTTGTATTTGCAGCTAACATTGATTTAAAGCTATTAATAGATGTGTCCCCTAGATTACTTTGATGTGTGTAAATTAATTTCTTCTCGTGGTACGATCAAGTGGCCTCCTAGATCACCAGATTTATCCCCAAGGGATTTTTTCTTTGGGGATAGTAGTGTATTGGCAAAATAAGGAGGAGGTGAATGATCCGAACCCGGTCTAGACAACATCTAATAATAGGGTGATCTAAATAAGGTGGGGGGATATAAGATATTACTAGGTACAGTCTAGACAATATCCGGTCTGATATATATTGTATTAACAAACTGAGGAGGGACATCTAGCAGTCTCGTGGCAGTAGATAGAGTAGGGTGGAAAAACGTGTATAAAAAGCCAAGACTTGCAGACATCGATCAGAATTTCAAAATGAGTGCTATATTTCGAAACGTATTCTTGGGTGAACGTCGGTTTACCTGAATCCATCGAACTCAAAATTTGTTTCTGTTTGCCTAGCACATGAATTGAATTTTGAACCAGTAGTGTTCATCAGTGGTAATAAAAAAGTGTTTTATTTAGTGAAACTGAGTGGCTAAACTTTTTATCATATAAAACTGTAATTGGCAGTTTCATGGTAAAGTAAAACTAGCAAATTCCATTGCATCGCTATGGATATTGCTTCCAGTATTTAACTACCATTTGGAAACTTTGAAAAAGGACAACTTTACCAGCTCCCTGAAAATACTAAAGTTGGGGGTTGAGTCAAATGATCCTATTAAAACTTAACTCCAAATAATGGAGCCAATAAAGAATATAAATACAACAACTTACGGCATGGCGTTGGAGTTAATTCACAGGTTTCCGCTGCTCAATGATCAAATTTAATGAAAATGTTCGTATTCACTACATTGAAGCAACTTGTTTGTTCAGAAGGAGGTACTGGGAGTTTGTGGCTGTGGACAGAGTAAGATATCAACGTAGAATAAGAGAACTTGCCACAATTATTATTCTAGTATTAGATGTAACCCATAGAAATAAATAGATACATTTCGTAAAACATTTAATTTATTAATTTACCCCCTTCCACTGTGAAAATAAATGATTTAAATAATATGTAGGGGCATATCCTTCAAAAATTAACAGTCACCCTGTGTCTGGAAGATAAGTCACACAAACGGAATAATTTTTATGAAAGGTTATCCACATTTAAAAACGGGAGGGGGTTGGTTCCTTCGATTGTAGTAACAGTATATGGATTGCACTATCTACAGTAAGAAGATATTGTAAGGTGATTTTGGATGTCATGTAGAAATTTATTGGTTATCTACTGATGATGTTTATAAAGAACATATCAAATTTAGTCCAAACTGTAGTTTGGCACAAATAATTCACTCCAAATTTTATAACTGCCAGAAAAATACGTTCTTCACTAAGTAGACATCAGGGTACTGGGGTTTCTTTAATTCTTCGCTGTAAAAGGCCCCTTGAACTTCTTTGCGCGAATCTTCTAGTAGGTAAGCTACTGGATTTGTCTTCTTGACTTTTCTTATTTTTAAAATCTCATTTGTCCAGTTGGGCAAATAACTTTTAGTAAACAAATTTCTAAATCTCGAAATTCGGACGTGATCACCATATTTGAATTTATGTTTTCTGGGGGAAAATTTTTGTAGACGGAGGTTTACTACCCCCGTTTAAAATTATTAGGTACCAATTTTTTTGAAGTTTTGACTAGACCTGTATTTGTGAAACAACATTCGTAAATATATATTCTTAATTTTCATAAATACAAGTACTACAGTTAACACCTATTTTGAGAATTTAAACTAGCGTGTCGTGAACTGTTTTAATTAGCATATAGTTTAAAATAATAGATTAAGTTCAAATGTTGATGTTTATTTAAAAATGTTTATGTATTATAGATCACAAAAGTATGACATTTCAAAATAAAAAGGAAAAAAAGTTTGCTTTTCGAGTAAACAGGCATTTTTAAATAAATAAACCCGTATGAAGTTTTTTTATATATTACAAACACTTAAGAAAAATTTCATATTTAGTTTCTTAGAAAAAACAAAGATTTTTATTCAAGACCCCTTTACCTGACAATCCCTACGTATTTATAAATTATTTTTTACAGTTTGATTGAAGATGGTATTATTTTTTAATGAAATAATATAGAACTTAAGTTAGTTCTATATTAATAATATTTAGTTCTAATGACTTTAATTTTCTTTTCAGTATTATAAAGAACATGCCCCGGCATGTTCAAGCATGGGCACATACAAATGCGGCATTTGTGAATGCTATCCCGGCGCCTTCGGCCCACATTGTGAATGTCTTCCAGATGATCTACCGACTAATATCACTGCCACCGATTGTATTCAACCTGACGTGCCAAATGCAGTAGAATGTTCCGACAGAGGACAATGCGTCTGTAAAAAGTGCATTTGTGAGTCAAGACAGAACGAAAATGAGGTTAGTATTGAGTAGAATGAGAATTTTACGTTAGTTTTCTTCTGTAATGTTATAATACAATTTTGGTCGTATCTAATACTTTTTACGAAATGGCAGGAATATTTTACAATATTAAAGTAATTAAAAAAACAGTATGTTGGGTACCATCAACTTATCACATACAACCGCTATACATACTTCTACGACACCTCCATAAAATTGTAATCTTCCAGCTTTCCAGACTTCCAACTTTCCAGCAGAACCTCGAACTCCATCCTTAGGCAACCATACCTACTACCTACAGCGTATACCCTTTAGAATTATGCGGAATATTACAGGCATTAAACAAACCAACAAATGGAAGCAGTTTTATTGCCATATGCACTAATTCACTTTCGTCAATTCATTCTATATGGAACATTTACTTAACAAATTCCCTAGTATGCACAATATCTGAGACAGCTATACACAAAAAAGTAGCAATTACAATTATCTGAACTGACACACAGATCTGTGTCGTCTTGTCTTTCCGTTAAATATGTGCTTTTTCTTCTTCTTCGGGTTCCTTCTCCTAGCGGAGGTTGGAAATCATCATCGCTATTTTAACTTTGTTAACTTTAACTTTGTTATGTGCTAGTGAACTGTAATTAATTTGCTGCTTCCAGAAGAAAACACAACCTTAAAGGAAATCTAAAAAATGTTCTGTTTTCCGATCCGCTTTGATAGTGTTTTAGTTTTTAAAAGAGAGATTCAATTGGTTATTTAGTATTTATTACTTACATAATGTACTGTTTGTATTAACCTGTATACTTATATTGAATGTAACAATTACATGGTGTCACTGTCAATGACCCCAAGTGGTAGAGACATATTAATCCAACAAATGCTTATAGATTATTGTATGTATAAGTTTTTTATGTTATAGAGAATCTACGGTAAATACTGCGAATGTGACAACTTCTCCTGCGAGCGCCACGACGGCAAACTTTGTAGCGGTCCCGACCACGGTATATGCGACTGCGGTGTGTGCCACTGCAAAGACGAATGGACGGGCCCGAACTGCGCATGTGTCAAATCCAACGCCACCTGTTACGCTCCTGGCGTGACGGACGGAAAGATTTGTTCTGGGCACGGAAAATGCGAGTGCGGTGTATGCCACTGTGATGTCAGCGACGAGGGACAGTACTCTGGAAAATTCTGTGATAGATGCCCAGTAAGTTTTTTTTTTAATAGTAGTCTATTCTAATCAGTTGAAGTTAGCTCAAAGTATTTGTGAAATATGTTTAAAATTAAGGGATAATTGTTGGCCTTAAACCTTTTGGGTTCAGTTGTATTAAATTTGAGTTCATGAAACAGTTTTAAATAATACATTTTGGGAATTGCTAGTATCAATTTTGGAAATATTGGGCGAAGTAATCTCTGGAAAATTGAAATGGACGACAATGAGATTTTTAAGGGATGATAATTCTTCAAGTTTGTCAATAAGTACTGTATCTGGAGGCCGATATATCCAAACTATAAATATAAATGAACTGTTAGTAATAAGTAATACTTACTCCATGCATACTGCCCCTTCACGAATACCTATGTCTTTATGACATTTAGTAAAATTGTATCAGGGATAAATGAATTAAAGCCACTTTTCTATTACAAAAATAATAAAAATGATGTTTTACCAGTTAAACAATATACAGTGTAGGTAAAAGTTTATTGTCGGTATGGTAAAATTTAACAGGATATCTAACACAGATATAAAATCACTTTTTCAGCAAATAGACAAAGATAATCATATTTCGCCCTGGGTATCCCCTCCATATTTCTTATTGACGTCCATTGCCCATTATTGAGACGATTAGTTCCGATCCTAATATACGTAAGAAACTAGAGGTGGGTCGTTGACATTTTTATCGGAACTGTTTTTCGTAAACTGTAACTAGTTGATTGTTTACCAGTAGTTTCAAATGTATACGTATTGACGTATTGATACGTAGTGTGTATACGTATTGAAGTGAAAGAAACTAAGGAAAAAACATAAATTTTTCCACTTTTCTTGTTAACCGTGTTCTTCTTTTATTTAAAATTAAACCAGATTTTCAACATGTTTTCACACGGAACAGATTTTGTTACAATACTACAATATTTTATGAATATAGTGATTAAGTTAGGATATACATGGCGATGGTTTTTCCACCACTGTGTAACGATATATTTTGCTTACCTTAGGATAAGAACATGGGGGTAGAAAATTGGGGACAGAAACTAGATAGAAGATAGAGCAAACAAAATAATCGATACTGGTGCGTACGGCACTCAGGGGTATGTTGGAGAGCTGGGTCGTGGATAAGTTGAATCAAATGGGTCGGATTAGGGTAACTACAAAATGAAAACAAAGGGATACTTACATAAATCTCCTGGAACGAAACGAACAAGATATTGACAGACAAGAAATACCTCTAGCTATTTTCTATTATTCAGACGCCGCTTCGAGAAAACTTCCTGCTGGAAGAAAGAAAAATTCTTCTCTCCTAAAATCAAGAATACACATAAGGGTTAGGAGACTTCTCTTAATTAAAATAAAAAAAATGTATCAGAGAAATAAATCAAACGTTTATTTTTGTCTCAAACAAATAGTTATCAAAAATACAGATTGTACAAAAACTTACTTGTCTATCTGTTTACAAAAGAGGGTGCTACAAAAATTTTTGAAATGGTTCCTAGGTTATTTATTAATGTGGCCAAAATAGATTATTAAAATTAAGGATATCCTTGTAAATAAAAATATCGTAAAATTGAACCTTTTCTATCAAACATCTTTTCTATATAATTAAATTATCTTTCACAACCAAAAACAGATTAAAGTCAACTGTCATACGTCAACACAACATTTTAAGACAGAATAAATTATGACATTTTTTAGCCACGCCTCTAACATAATATATAATTTTAATTATTACAAATTCTTAAATTTTTAAATAACAGCAATACTTAAAAAATGTCCTATTTTACTTTGAAAATTAATATATTAATTGTTACCTTAATTCACAAAATTTTTTACACTTAACTTTGAAAAAAACTTGCTTAACATCTGTGGGATATCTAAAACGGAATTTCTTAAAAAAAAACAGGAACCAAACTTGTTCACTTTTCAAACATTCTAAAATCTTCAGAAAATCGAAACAGTGGTCACTCTTTCAAATATGACACATTACATGAGTGAAAAGTCCACTATTTCTGGCGAGTTAATGCCGGGTCACTAATTAACAATCTCCGTTCTCTTTAAGCCATTCTTCAAAACCTCCTGAATTCTCCTGCCCTCAATCTAATACCGGCGAGGGCGACCCTTTTTCTTTACCTCTCCAACATAAATATCTTGTTTTTAAAACAAGCCTCGACTATGTCACAAAGCGCTTGAACAAACTACTTTTAAATAGGTAGAAATAACACGTATTATATTGATTATTTTAACCTCCTAGATCTTGCTTAACCGGAATTTAAAACGCTACAACTGTTAATGGACAGTTCCAATCTCCGTTCGAAATTTTTTGTGGGCAATATATCATCAGACAAATACATGTCGAACTTCTTTTATATCTCTCGATACAGGTGTATGTTAGATGAGTCATGTCCAATTTTCTTTTTTTATAGAAGTAACGAGCTTCTTAAGGCCCATATTTATAACGATGCTCTAGTAATGGGATCGATACTTGAGATCGACCTTGAGAATCAAATTTTGTGATCTATAAAAACCGTTCTCAGCACGAAGTCGAGCTTGAGAACGCAAAAATGACAGCTCGAACTCAAGCATCCGATCGGCACCTGCCTTGTTCACGGGAACCTAACCTAACTTGTTTTGTTTTATATTTTATGAATATTTCCATACAATATTATCTTTCTTTGTTTTTTTTGAGATTAATATTGTCCTACAACATCAAGAAAAAGTTTGGTAGCTTATTATATGATCAAAGTTGATTAAAAATTTAGAAAGGAAAGATGGCAAATTTCCAGAATTAATAATAATAGTGAATATAGTATGCAGTGCCAGACACAATCGAACTTACTCCCGTATTACAGCCAGGTATTTATTGAATAATTGGCCAAAATAAAAAAATAGATTATTTGATAAATACATCATTTTAGGCAATGATCAAACAAAAAAGATTATCAAGTAGTAACACATGTAATGTGTAAATGGATATTTGGAACCTGGAAAATATAGTTTTCCTCCTGGTCTGCAATGAGGCCTACAAACCAAATTAAATACTTATCTTGCAATAATAAGTGCTAACAGCAGTACTTTGCAATAATATGTTTACTGGAAAATGAAATGATAGTGATGATATTTCTAGAAAATACTATTGTAGTAAATAGAAACTATAATGATGTGGAATTAGGTTTAAATTTTAGGAGACATTTTATATTCTCCGAATGTTATTCATGATAATGTAAATACAATATTGAATACTTATGTATGTTCAATTCATTGTTGTTTAATTTGAGAATTCATTACCTATATTATATTTGATATATTATGTTGTTGTCTTATTTATAAAAATGTATTTATTTTTTTTAATTTTAAAATAAATGATTTTTTTCCCTCACTAGCTCATATAACAAAACCAGTTATGTCTTTACTGAGTGTACAAGGAGTTTCCCTCCTTTTAATTAAAGTGATTAATTTCTTTCATAAAATCCCTTTCCTTACCAAATAAAATTAATACAAATTAAGAAATAATTAATAATACTTTATTTAAAAAATAATAACAGTTTATAATTAAATACATTATAAAATATGATTATTTTAATCATAGTTCATCAGGTGAGTAACTTAAAACAATTAGAACATTACAAAAAAAATAATGTAATGTATATATATAAATAATATAAAAATATATAATATATATATAACTTCTTCTTCAACGGCACTACAGCCCAATATGAGCCCTTGGGCCTCCTTTATTTGTTGCGCTCCACCCGTGGTCTGTCTGATGGCTGCTCTTCGCCATACACGGGACTCCTTGTAGCCTTCCTCAAAAGTGCTTGTGCGTCGCTGCTTACTGTGTCTTCCCAGCGGCTTTTCTTGGGCTTGTCCAACTGGGTCCGCTGTCCCGTGCATTCTGGCGTTCAGGCAAGTGCTCGTTGTGGGTAGCCTATCCTCTCCCTTCGTATCACATGTCCGCCCAGTGCAATCTGTGTATTCCAATTGAAAGTCTGACAGGGGTGTGGCCTTATACAGTTGATAGAGCTCGTGTTATTAATCGAATTCTGAAGGATGCCGTGTGCCCTTCACTAGGTCCTAGTATTCTCCTCAGTACTTTTTGTTTCGAATGTGTCGAGTTTTTTTTAGGATGTTTTCATTCAGGACCATGCTTCGCGGCCATAACATGCTATTGCCATGTGGCATGTGGGCTATATATATATAATATATATATATATCTATTATATATATAATATATATATATATATATATATATATATATATCTATATATAATATATATATATTATATATATATATATGTATATTGAAGTAGCAGCAATTTATTAAAATTTTTTAGTAATTTCGTAAACAACATAAAAAATATTAGTATGGTATGTATTGCAATCAATACCATTAACAAAACTGAAAAAGAAAACATAACATAGTCTAAAAACAAAAGACTATACAACAAATAAAAAGGTAAAACCTTATCTCACCAGCGGAAATGAAAATACTAAGAACCTTAAATTCTAAATTAAATCCTATCTATAAAAAAAAATAAACAGGAAGGAAATAGAAAGAAAAATAACCATGGATTTTAAAACACAAAGTATATTTTTTTTTCGTCTTTATAGAGGCTGTCGAAATCTTAAAAAGACATCTCGAGTCCATGATGCCGCCTGACTGACCTTAGTCAGGATTCATTCTCATAGTCCCGCGATAGTTTCCGAGGTACTTAAAACATCCGCTCGTCGCATAAACTCTATGTCAAAGCCTACCTGCTTAAAACAGACCCTACTACGACATTCAGTGCTCCGATACAGACCTCTGAAAGTGAAAAGGCAACTGAAAGAACAAGTTCACCACTTCCCACACACTATCTTCAGTTGGGAATAAGCCACAATGTTTAATATGTTATAGTACTGATGTTTAATCTCTAGGCCAGAAATATTGTTACCAAAATATACAAAATTGGTGATTTAATTTCCAGAAAATAAAATCACAATTTTGTATCTATGATAACAGCCACTGGTCATATAAATGAAAAACATCAGTAAATAAACATATTGTGGCTTATTCCTCCTACATTTTACCCTAAAACTGCAGAGTAGTCCAACAGAGGAAAAAGATCTGTAGTGCCTTAAAATAAATAAAAAATTAAGAAAAATTCAGTGAACAAGTCACACATGATAAAAACAATAATTACCCTTTTTATATAGTCTATTAACTTCATAAAGCAAAATCACTTCATCAATAGATCTCCTGCTTCTCCTTCTCTCAGTTGCTTCTCTTAAGGCTTTTTTTTGCCCTCAGCATATCTTCTTCTAAATCTTATTTTCACTTAAAAAAATGTCTATTTTACTTTAAAAATTAATATATTAATTGTTACCTTAATTCACAAATGTTTTACACTTAACTTTGAAAAAACTTGCTAAACATCTATCTGGGATATCTAAAATGGAATTTCTTAAAAAAAACAGGAACCAAACTTGTTCACTTTTCAAACATTCTAAAATCTTCAGAAAATCGAAGCAGTAGTCACTCTTTCAAATATGACACATTACATGAGTGAAAAGTCCAGTAATTTTGGCGAATTAATGCTGGGCCACTCCCTAACAATTAACAATATCCGTTCTCTTTAAGCCATTCTTCAAATCCTCCTGAATTCCCCTGCTCTCAATCTAATACCGGCGAGGGCGACCCTTTTTCTTTACCTCTCCAACATAATGTTTTTAAAACAACCCTCAACTATATCACGAAGCGACCTTGAAACAAACTACTTTTAAATAGGTAGAAATAACACGTATTATATTGATTATTTTAACGTCCTAGTTTTTACCGGAATTTGGAAATCTTCTACCTCACAATGTATACAGAGAATTGGGGTATTTGAATGTAAATAAAGACAAAAATATTTATATAAAACTCAGGAGTGAACTACAAAATTTAAAACGCTACAACTGTAATAGACAGTTCCAATTTCCGTTCGAAATTTTTTGTGGGCAATATATCATCTTCAGACTTCTTTTATATCTCTCGATACAGGTGTATGTTTACATGAGTCATGTCCAATTTTCTATTTTTATAGAAGTAACAAGCTTCTTAGTCTTACTTTTGTTTTTTATAACTAGGTATTCTGATTAATGAATGAGTTTCGATTTACGATTTATCTGCATTTTCGATTTCAAATCTTTATTGATAGTTCGTCAAAGGATTTATTTATTGTAAATATTCAATTAAGAATTCTTTTTCTTAGTCAAAAATATTGACCTAGCATAAGAATAATAATTCTATTTTCAAAAATGCACATTTGTAGAAGATGTAGCTTTTATGGTCCACTTTCTGAATATTGCAATGATTGAAATTCTCCTGACGCATTTCTGTCCGTTTCGACTACTTCTGCCACAAGTACTGACATACTGCCATCCCACCCAAGCGTCAAAAGGTGATGGATACTTCCATTAATAAAAATATTAGTTTAGAACAAAATAAACAAATAGATATGGATTTACTAAACCTATGCAAAGACACCTATGCAAAGACTCGTTTCATCCGTTTTCCATAGTTGAAGATCGAGCTTCTAAAAAGTTTGCAGGGTGGATTCCTGGATATAAATCGCCAACAAGAAAAACTTTGGCAGGTTCATTACTTCAGGAATGTTATATCAAAACTGAGCAAATTATTAGATCACAAGTTGTTAAAGAAGTAGAAAATATCTGTATTACTACTGACCTCTGGACATCTGGAGTAACTGAGAGTTACATCGCATTAACAGGACAATATTTAACCGAAAATTTACAATTTAAAACGGTTTTATTAGGCTGCTGCCATTTTTCTGGAAACCACAATTCAGAAAACATCGCTTTTGAAATTAGTGAAATTATTTATTAGTGGGGTCTAAAACGAAAAGTAAATTTTGCAGTATTTGCTAGCAAAGTAGCTGAAATTGTTTGTATTTTCCAAACATGAAGTAATGTTGAAAACATAATAATGCCTGGCTTTTATTTTCAGACTTGTTCAGATAGATGTGCCGAATTCAAAGACTGTGTTCAATGCCAACAATATAAGACTGGTCCCCTCAAGAAACCAGAGGATTGCTCTGCCCAGTGTACAAAATTCACTCCCTCGTCGGCCGATGTAATAACCGGTAAGCATGAGTGTAAATTTTTTACATATATTAATTATAAAACATATGAAATCTAAAAAGAAAATAAAAGAAATTAGCAAATTTAGTGATTATTAATTTTGTGCTGTTTTTTACCTCGCTTGACTATACAAACTATGCACACTTGTTCACAGGCAAGTAAAAATTATTCGAATAAAATAAAACTGAATAAATTAAAACAATAAAATAAAAGTTTAAATATTGTACTGAAGCTATTTTCTTGTGTTTTTCTATTGTAAATCGTTCTCAAAATACAAAATCGTATTTTGAAAACGATTTCTCTAATAATAAATTTGATTCATTGTTTATATTAAATAAAAAATTGTAGCTTATTCTCATCAAAAATAGTAAAAAGGTTTAAATGTTTATTTTTGAAATTTTATGGTGGTTTATATATTAATATTTAAAAAATAGAATGTATTTATCAAAATGAATGAATATAGGCACCCAGTATTCATGATTCTTCTTTTTTTTGTTTAATTAAAAAGATGTTCTTCTTTGCAACAGTAAGTTAATAATCCGTCCAAACTATAGCGTACCTACCATTAATCCTGTATTTTCTTGATGTATACCAGGTACTACTCTAACAGTTGTATCGTAAATTTATAGTAATATGTATAATTTAAATATTAAGCTGTTTTTGTTTGTTTTCAGTGGATGCGAAGAACAACGAAGTGCTTTGTGCTTACTACGACGAAGATGAGTGTAGATTTAAATATGTATATTATTTCGACAGCGATCAAATTCAAGTTAGAGCACAGAAAAACAGAGACTGTCCCGAAAAGGTAAGAAATTTATACCTGTACAGTAATTATTAGCTCTATGTAACTTTGCTGTCAAAAATTGTTATTTAAAAATCCTTTATAAAAGGTATATAATTAAAAAGACCCTTTCGCGCTACATCACACAACTTTTTCGGACTAAAAAGTCCATCATCAGTATATTATTATTATTACCTGCAATTTACGCTTTGCTTATGCAATTTATTACCACTTTAGTGAAAGCAACCATAAAGGTTAAATTTTGACTAAGGTTGAAAAAGAAATGTGGCTAAATACTTACCAGGTATACATGAGTCAAAATCACTAAATAGATGGGTAAAAATCCTTAAAAACTTAGAAATTTGTTACATTATTGTTGAAAATATGTTGTGATGTTAAAAGTATTTTTCTACTCTCTTACTAGTAAATTGTATATTACCTACTATTTGGATGCTAAGTAAATGCATCATAACAGATACTGACACGTAATAACTAGCACGTAATAAAAAAAATTACGCTTCAGTTTTATAAAAATGTGTAATATCACATAAGCCTCGTAAGTTAGTTGGTCGAGTTACCATGGAAACGAATTAACAGACGTTATTTTGACAGATTAAAAATTTTTAATCTGTCAGTGTAAATATAGTGGTAATTTAATTTTTATTTTTATAAACGAAAATAATCGTAGAAAAAGTATAGTACACAACTTGAGTTGTAAGCTTATTACATGCTTGTAAAAATTACTGCGCTCGCCGCTACGCGGCTCGCGCGTAACTTTTTTACTCGCATGTAATAAGCTTCTTACAACTCTCGTTATGTAATATACTATTAACAGATACCCTGCATGGGAACGTCATACGCCCAATATGAGTTGTTTTCTGACCCTCGGACCTTGTCTGGATGGGTTCTGGATGGCAACTAATTAAAATGACAGTTTTTGAACGGATGCATGAACAAAGCAGCTAAGTAATGTAAGGTAACAAGTATGTGTCTTAATGTGATACCCGCCAACAATGTGTTAAATAAATATGTTGAGAAATTTTAAATTTTGTGTTCCTTATAACAGCAGCAAACATCAATTAGTTGGGGTTGAAGTGTGGTTGAATTGCCAGTTATTAATAACGTTGAGTCACTTTGCACTGGTTCAATTGGAATTTTGTAGGTTTTCACTTCACTCCCAACCATCCCAAATTCTGTTCATTATGAACTCTGAATAGATATTCAATAATAAGGGAGATAAAACCGATCCTTGGCGTACTCCCTTCTCTAAAGTGTATTCGTCAGATTGGCATTCATCCTTTCGAATATATGCCAGATTATCTTGATACAGTTTGCTAATAAGATGAGTCAAGTGTTTAGGTACACCCATTGTCGTAAGTATGTTCCATAGTTTGTACCATATTTTGTTTTTGCATAGAATATATTATCAGTTATGGTTCTAAAAGAATTTTCTTGAGGCATTTCTCTATGATCTTGACAAAGTCCGACATCATTGCCTTCTACAACTACTTAGACTACTAGAAAAAAGATCTGGACATAAGACATTATAATAATATAAAGAATATCTGCTTATACCCAGTTGCTTCTGTAAAGGTTGTAACCAACGGTCAGTTAAAATAGTGATACAACGAGGTGTGCATACTTTCTTCGTTTCTCTTTAAGCTGTACTTACAAGAGATAGGCCACGAAGCACTAAAGAAATATCAATTAGAATTAAAGTCAACCTAGAACCCATAACATCAGATATGCTGATGATACTTTATTCCTAGGAGTGGCCTGTCTTTTTTTAGACTGGGTTCCAATGCTGAACCCACCCCCTAGTCCCCCAGTGTACTTTTTTCGTTTCCAAACTGATATTTTCATATATCAAAAACATTTTTGTTTAGAACAGTAAATTTTTGAAACGAGTTACGTTTGTTTTTAAAAACTATTGCGTGATTAGAAGAAAAATATGGATAATAAGAAAAATATAAAAATAAGATAATATAAAAAATACTTTGAAAGTTTTCATTTGACGCATACCTTGATTTTTATTCACGACTATATTTCTTGTACTAGCAGTAGGTATAATAGTCCAACTTTACCTAGCTTAACGTTGTTTTTCTTGATTTTTCTAGGTATACGTCCCAGGTATAGTACTTGGTGTAATAGCAGCTATTGTTCTGATAGGTATGGCAATTTTATTATTGTGGAAGTTGCTGACGACAATTCATGATAGGAGGGAATTCGCACGATTTGAAAAAGAAAAGATGATGGCTAAATGGGACACGGTAAGTTAAAAAAAAAATCCTAATTGAACAAGTTAAATATCTTTAGGTAAACGATGTCATGTAATGTGCAACTTTAATCATGAAATACCCCTTTTAAAATATCTGACGACGACTAGATACCGTCATCTCTTTATCGCTCTTTTTAGATCTCTATATCCATATTATTTGTTTTTTGCTCTAAAATAAGACTCACGCCAGTATATCGCCCACGATAATTAATCCTCATACAAGCTATCATTCAATATTGTTATCATCAATTGCTTAGAAATGTACTAAAAGACATATTGATTGAACAAAAGTCTTTGTATTTACGAATACAAAATCGATTATACAAACTTACCCATTTGAATAGCTGCAAGATTATCTACTGTTGAATCTAGCAGATATAAAACATGTTTCACCTTACTTCGATATTATATAAGGTTGTTTAGGTAACGATATTTAATGTCTCTTACTGTCCTGATATTTTTCTGGTCAGTCGGAAGATTTTTTAAGCTTAATATTCTGATTCTAACTATATAATGATAGTGATACGATTTTTATTATTCTAGGGTGAAAATCCCATCTACAAGCAAGCTACCTCGACATTCAAAAATCCGACATACGCCGGCAAAGGTTAAACAACAAATCATCTTAGTAATTTTTGAAATTAAACTGCCATCCGCAGCGGAGCACTGTGATTTCCGCTATCCTTTACTAATCCTTTCCATCTAGACGATTTCCTTTAATCCAGTGGGGTAAAACATGAACGTAGCTTTAACTTGAAGTTAAATTATCCAGTTAACAAAAACAAGAAAGATGTCTTGGATAATTTTAAATTGTACATATGGTTTCACACGAAACAAAAGAAAAACGGGAGGTCGGCTAATTTTTGGTATAAGATCGTTGATTTTCTAAAGTTTTTATTTTAGTAAAAGTATGTGCAATATTTACCACATTTAAAATCATTTTCAGCACAGTTGTCTCTTGACCGGCACTTTTTTAAAGTTCCAATTTATTTAAGTATCTCATAAATTCATTTTTAGATATTTTCTATCGCATCATTTGTGTTTAGTTTTGTAAATTTCGGGCATTGTAATCTACTAACACCTATTGTTCATTAAATCTTAAATTTGGCTATTATTTACATTTTGATGTTTTAAATTTGTTTTGTTTGATCTTTGTTTTAATTTGTTATGCCGTAAAAGATTTTAATAAAAAATTGGTTATTTCTCTGTTCTTCTACCTATATATCAACAGTCGTGTTTATTCGGAAATCGTCGTTGGTTATTTCCAATAATTTCGGTTTTGATTTGATAAAAACATGCTCAGATGGAGACACGTATCACAGACTACTTTCGTATCCGTCATCTGTCAAAATATGATATACCATTTGATATACCATTTGTTTTATTTAAGATTCATTTATTTCTTTGACAGGCTGCTTTAATCTCTGTTCCATCTGCATTGACAGTTTTTTATGGAACAAATATTATTTAATCATAGAAAGAAATCAACTAGTGCTGTAATTTGTAATTCCAGGCAGCTGTTATTAAACTTATCTCATTTAGATTCCTAATTTGTATATCAACAAATTGAAATTTAAGGAGAACTTTAGAAAATCGATAGTTCTTACTAAGCGTAGAATTTTTGTACTTAGTTCGTATATATTTGATTACGTACTCGTGTTCAATATATCCATTTAGCTAGCCCATTCCTTTCCCGTGCCATAAATAAAATTAGACTTGGTCGTTAGTTTTGTTCCTTTATAATCGTTGCAATAACTATTTAGAACATTTTTATCAAAAATTTTAATCAAAATTATGAGTAGGTGTTTAAAGAAACATTTTTTAAGTATTCGAAAGGTATTACACTACTGGAAGTAATTGATTTTAGACATTTTAAACAAGGTCCGATTAGAAAATAGGAAATTATTGGAGCGTTTTACTATATAGTGTTTGCAGCAAATTTGAAAGTGAAACTGTAAATGTTTAATTTGGTAAAATATTACTACTGGTTTTGGCCTATTTTCCATGTTTCCTATCTTCATTATCGGATCCCCTAACGACCTATTTTCGCCTTTTTATCGATCTTTACTTTCTCTACCATTAGGCTTTTTCTCAAAAATATATTTTATTCCTGTTAAGTAATATATTTATAGGGATTAATATGTATTTAGGCGTTACAAATAATGTAATGTCGCTTGTATGGTATTGGGAAGTTTATTTTTGTGTGTTACTTTGCATTTTTTTTATTTTATATCGAGAGCATAAATTCATAATTTTTCCAATATTCATTCTTTATTAATAATAGCACCTACAATTCAACTGTAGTATTTATTTGGAAATCGTCGTTGGTTGTTTCGAGAAATGTCGGTTATATGTGCGCAAAAGGAGGCACGTGTCCTAGACTACTTGCGTATTCGTCACCTGTCAGAAGTGACGTTTGTAGGTACATACTTGGCCTAATTTAACTCATTAATATCTTCTATACATTCTAAATAAAAGAGAATATTTTTAATTTATAACTAAAATCTTTGTGTAATACCTTTCGTATCTCATTAGAAAAATTATTTTGCAAATTATGACGATAATTGTTGATCTGCATTATTGAATCTCCTTTGTTTATTTTAAATTTGGCAACTTTTTAACAATTTTGGCAACTGTTTACTTCTTATATTACTAAATGTGACTCTAGTTAGATCTGAATTATTTATTTACATTTTATTTTTTTTTAACTTTTGACGAAACTTTTACGAATCTGACGATATTTTATTCTACATAAAAAAATATTGTGCCTACTGCAAGTGTCTTAATTCAACTAATTATACATACGGTGTAATCATCCATTTTTCATAAAAAACATTCTATATATTGCTATTACTATAGATCAGGAGTGGACAATGTCCGGGTTGCTGCCCGGATGCGGAGCACGAAAGTCGTTCCGCAATAGTGTTGACAATTTTGAATCCAGTTCGCGACAGTGTTGAATCTAGCTCGCTGTAAACTACACATCTTAAAAAATACATAAAGAATCTATCCGATATTTACATTGTTTTTATTTGTAAGCTAAATTGGATGGTAAAAAGGAACAACATATTTCTAGTCCAACTTAAGAAGTTTCTAGGTGTATGTGGTCGGAAATCATTCTCAAAATACAAATTTTTGTGGTTGAAATCGAAACGTCAAATAAAAGGTATATTCAATTAAAATTGTGATTTAACCCCATTAAATAAAGTAGTATGTAACATCGTTTGAGAGTGAGGAAAACCGAACCGTTAAGAAAATAATGCGCTGGTACCTCGTATAATTTATTATTTTGAAATCTCATTATCTGAATAAGATTAAATTAAAAATATATTTATTTATGAAAAATGGATGACAGAATATTTTTATACATATATTTTTTTAAAATTGTTAATTTTACTTATACAATATTTATCTAACTTTTTACATCTTTAACTATAGGTAGGGATAGAATCTCCAGTTTAAAACAATTACTAATAAATGTTCAAATGTCAAAAATTAAAAATTATTCGCGCAGACTAGTTTTTTTATATTTAAAAATGTCTTTTTATTTAAAAATATTTTCTCTCAACTGAAATAATTACTCGTCCAAATGCGTTTCATCCAGCTGTGACTGTGTAAATGGGAAAAACAGACGATGGTGAATGTATTTTAGGTGTACTAAAGGTGCTTTTTTGGAAAGACTTCCAAGTATCCAGTTTTGTTGCTGCTGTTACATCGTTTTTACCATAAACGTTTTCCAATCATAAATATATTTGAGATTTGAGGTAAACTCATACAAAGTGAAGTGTGGCAAATGGCGAATATTATAAAAAAAATACGTTCCAAAGCACCGGATTTTAGAGCTTTAAAAGTCCGTGTGAGCGAGATTTTTCTGATGAACGAGAACAATATCTGTCACAAACAGCACCTAGTGAAGAATTGTGCTTCTAATATTTTCCATTAATTATTATATTATTCGAAAAGTTCACACTTGAAACAATTCCTTTGAAATTGTTCTGAAGCTATTTTCTTGTGGCATTTTAAATAAATTACTGTTTAAATGGGAATAAGCCACAATTAAATGTTAAAGTACGTTTATTGACGTTTTAATTTCCGAAGTGGAAATTGAAACGTCAATAAACGTACTTTAACCTTTAATTGTGGCTTATTCCCATTTAAATAGAAATTAATTCTTTTGAAACCTGAAAAACACTAGCCTTAACGTTTCCATTGGACAGAAATGAGTTTACAGAAGAAAAACATTCGCAGAAACAAGAAAAAGTAGAGAACAATATTAAAAAGCTGTAAAAAGTTTCACATATTTACGAATGAAATTAAATGTAGAGAGAACCGAATCAAAAGAGAGTAATAAAGGGCAACCAAACCTATTTCGTTTTTTTTACTTTAAAAGCCTTTAAGCCTTTACTTGAAAACATTTACAAAATTTCTTGGTCAAATTCACAATTGTGCCAACATTAAAAAACAGTAGTTCTTGTTCTGTATCGCCTTACGTTTATTACGTATTACAATATTGCGTATATTTTTGACATACATTAAACATTTATTAGTAACATTAGTACTTAAGTAATTAAAGTCATAATATTAGGATTTTCTATTTACTAAATTATTTTTCTTGTATTATATTTGTAAAATTTGATTTGCACGAAAGCTTAACTGCCAAATATCGATGATATGTATGTTATATATAAAACGTATAGATAATTTTTTTAACTTGTTAGCGTAACATTATTTAAAATCTTATTTTATTAATGATGACTGTTAATTGATTGTTTAGATTTATTAAAAGTGTATAATAAAAGGATTTGTTTTAATATTTTAATTGGTGATCTTATTTCCGCTTAATTTGAGACATCTTCGGTAAAAAAAACTTGAAGATGTTAAGATAAAACTCTGGAGAGAATGGTAAAGGCTTAAATATGGGGTAGAAAAAGAACAAAATCTACACCATCCACACTATACCTTTAGAAAGGACAGATCTTCCATAGAACCTCCTAACAATATTAGTAAATGGCATCTTCTTCTTCTTGTAGTGCCTATACGTTTCGGATGGTGGCGATCATCACGACAATTTGTATTTTGCAAACTGCTGCTCTGAAAACATTTGTGGTTGTTGTGTTAAATCACGTACGTAAATCTTTCAGCCAGGAAATCCTTCGCCTTCCTGGTCATCGTTTTCCTTCTACTTTTTATTCTCTCGTTACTCATTATACAGTTTAATAAGCTTCTCAGTAACTTGAGGAAAATATGGTAAATATGAGTAATGGGTGGTAGGATTCTCAAGATCCGTATCAGGCAGAACAATGCTATCAATTGAATAATTTGATATGGTTCTAAGTTGGTCACCATTGGGTATGTCATCAAACGAGGATCCATAACTTTGTGAGTAAAGGTATTTATTTATGATAGAAGAAGGATATGAATTCTCAATTAGAATATTTCTTAATAATTTAAGGGATTCCCTTCGATCAATCGGATGTGTCAATTTATTTAATGGGCAGCTTAGAGCTTTAATAAGGTTTAATTTGTATTTCATAGGATGACAGGAATGGTAGTTAAGGAACCTATTAGAGGCCATCGGTTTTCTATACCAACTTGTGGTTAGGGTGTTGTCTACCATTCTAATGACAGGCATGTCTAAAAAGGGAATACTATTGGTGACAGTGTCCTCAAGTTCAACAGTGAACTGAGGATCAAATTCATTGAAAAAGGATAAGGTGCCCTGAACCTTGTCAGGTGTAAAGACTAATAATAAATCATCCACATACCGCTTAATAAAAGGAATTTGAAAATCCAAAAGACCTAAACGGTCAGATACCAAATCATCCAGTACATAGTTAACTAGGATGGGAGATATTGAGGAACCCACAGGTGTGCAAAATATTTGGAGATAAAATTTGTCATCAAAGACCAAGAAAACTAGTCTATAGCACAACTAAAGAACATAAGGCTCCTGGCCCAGATGGAATACTTGTAGAAATGGTGAAGGACGGGAGTGAAATTATTCTCGAAGAATTGAAAATTTTTTTCAACGAATGTCTTCACAGAGGAGAAGTCCCAGATGATTGGAATGAAAGTTTGACAACACTTCTCTTCAAAAACGGAAAAAGGGACATCTGAAGAACTATAGGCCAATCTCCCTACTGTGCCATATGTACAAACTGTTTATGAAAGTAATAACTGACAGTTTAACGTCGAAGCTCGATAGCTATCGACCGGTAGAGCAGGTAGGATTGCGAAAGGATTACAGTACAGCGGATCATCTTCTTACAGTCAGAACTCTAATAGAGAAAGCCAATGAATATCACTTGAACTTATATATTGTCTTCGTTGATTATGAAAAGCCATTCGACTCCAAAGAACTTTGGACAATAGAAACAGCTATGAACCAACTGCAGGATAGACTCCTGATACAGAATGCTCATACATAATATTTACAAGAAAGCTACAATGAAAATACAAATAGATATGAAAATCAAAGCTATACCAACCAATAGAGGAGTTCGTCAGGGAGATATTATCTCACCAAAGCTATTCACACTTGAACTGAAAGACGTGTTTAAAGACATTACCTGGGCAGATAAAGGAATAAATGTTAATGGAAGAAAACTAAGTCATTTAGGATATGCTGATGACATCGTAATATTCGCTACAAGTTTCGATGAACTACAGACCATGATGACGCAACTAATTCAAGCTTCGGAAAAAGTAGGTCTTAAGATGAACTTGGAAAAAAAAATCAAAAATAATGACAAATACACCGAACATCAGAGAAATAACTTTGAACGACATAAATTCAGAAACAGTAAGCGAATACATCTACCTGGGACAGATAATGAAAGTTAACAAAGAAAATCAAGCTGTCAAAATTACCAGAAGAATAAGATTAGCGTGTTCAGAATTTGGAAAACTGAGTTGGATCTTGAAAAGCACTAAAATGGAAGAATATTTGAAAACCAGAATTTACGATCAGTGTATCCTCCCTGTACTCACGTATGGTTCACAGACGTGGATACTCACCAAGTCTAACATCGATTAAATAGTAAAAGCACAAAGAGCGATGGAAAGATCAATGCTCGGGGTGAGACTTATAGACAAAAAAAAGAAACAAATGGATTAGAAGCAAAACGAAAGTGAAAGGCGCAGGAGAATATGCTGCCAAATTATGATGGAGTTTCGCAGGACTCAATGTCCGACTGAAGGATAAGAGATGGAATCACGAAATACAACAATGGAGATCATGGTTAGGAAAGAGAAGCAGAGGAAGACCAGAAATGAGATGGGAGGATGATATTAAGAAGATCGGAGGACACAACTGGAAGCAAGTGGGGCATAATAGAAGACACTGGATTGATTTGGGGGAGGCCTATGTCCAAAGTTGGATTACTTAAGGCTGAAGAAGAAGTTAGTAACGTGGCGGTATAGGATATCTTCTGGATTCGACGATAAAGCCACATTTCGAAAGCATCAATTTTCTTGCAGGTAGCGTTTGTGAGAGTCCACGACTCAACTCCGTACAGCAGTATAGGAAAGATATAACATCGTAGTAACCTGATTTTTATAGGTACTTTTCGTTGCAAGATATTTCGGATTTAATCTTCTAGTTATAGTTGTGTACAGGATCGGACTTATATACTGATACATTTTATCAAAATTACGGCAATCCAACAAAGTAACAGAAAAATACATGTAAGTAATACTTTTATACTAAAATGTATATTTATCATAGTGAAAAAATACAAAAAAAAATAATTTAAAACTAACTATCGTCTACATTTAAACCGGTATCGCTATCGTTTAAATATATAACTACTCTATTTATAATTTTTTGAAACTGTAAGTATTTTTCTTCTAGTTTTTTGACATGCTCTATACATGTTTTTTACCAAATAAAGAACTTACTATAATATGTGGCGACTTTAATGCAAAAGTTGGCAACACTACACAAAATGACGACTTAAAGAATGTACTGGGAAAGTTTGGCATAGGGCAGAGAAACGAAAGGAGACCGTTTAATCGAATTTGCTATCACAAACAACTACTCCATCATGAATACTCGATTTAAACACCATGTACGTCGACTTTATACCTGGAAAAGTCCTGGAGATAGATTTAGAAATCAAATAGATTACGTCCTCACCAATATTCGCTGGAGATCGTCCATTCAAACAGTCAGATCATATCCAGGGGCGATATGCGGATCCGATCATACTCTCCTCGTAGCTAAAGTAATGCTTAAACTTAAAGCACCCAACAAACAAAGAGAGATAAAGAGGATAGAACTAAGAAAGAAAGAAGACCTTCTACAGGAAGTACAGAAAAGTATGCCCTCTATTCGTAACGGAACATCACAAGAAATATGGGAGACTGTTAAACATTGCGTAACAACACCAGTGGATCGCTCAAAGAAAAATAATCCGGTGAAACGGAAACACTGGATAACAGATGAAACTCTTAAAATAATTGAGAATAGAAGAAATCTTGGTAAAAGTGGTGTACATAGTGAAAGGGAAAAAGCTAGTTTAAGAAACCTCAATAAAGAAATAAAACGAAGATGTAAGGCCGACAAAAAACAGTACTATCAAAGTATATGCAAAGAAATTGAGAGACATGGTCAGAATAATCAGCCGAGAGATCTATTTAGAAAAATACGCTACCTGACAAGAGACTTCAGAGCCAGAACTTGGGCCATTGAAGATAACACTGGAACCCTGAGAACAAACAGAGAAGACATAGCAGAGACATGGAGATCGTATTGCAGGGACCTATATAAAGATGATCAACGCCAAGAGCTTGTTAGCCAAATCTCTGACGAAGTGGAAGAAGAACCTGATATACTCGAAAATGAAGTAAGACAGGCTATCAACAAGCTCAAATATAACAAAGCACCAGGTCCAGATATGATAACAGCAGAAATGCTTAAAGCCACAGAAGAAACCGGCGTAAAGTTACTTCATCTACTCTGTAACCAAATATGGCATTCCAAACAATGGCCTGAAGACTGGACAAAATCTACAATAACGACCATACATAAAAAAGGCAGCTTCCATAAATGCGACAATTATAGAACTATCTCTCTTATATTCCATGCCAGCAAGATAATGCTACATATAATTAAGGAGAGACTGAAAACATTCCTTCAAAGAGAAATTCCACAAGAGCAAACTGGATTTACCAAAGATAGAGGTACTCGAGAACACCTGCTGAATATAAGACAGATAATCGAGAAATCTAGGGAAGTCAACATCCCACTATACATATGTTTTATAGATTACCGTAAAGCGTTCGACAGGGTCAAGTGGAGACACTTATGGCGAATACTAAAAGAAGTAGGCGTACTTCTTTTATCTAATCTGTCTATCGTAATCTAATTACGCTTATAACCGAACTATATGAACACACTACTGGATCAGTTAAAGTACTTGACACACTTTCGAACGAATTTCATCCAGAACGGGGTGTCAGATAAGGATGTATATTATCTCCACAATTATTCAACATATATGGGGAGTATATTATGCGAAGAACACTTGAAGGATGGGAAAAGGGCATCTCAATAAATGGTCATAAACTAAACAACCTACGTTTCGCAGATGACACAGCCCTTCTTGCAAATAGTCAAGCAGAGCTGATAGAACTTATACGACTGATCGAAAACGAAAGTCAAATATTTGGTCTGCAATTAAACATATCAAAGACAAAGATCATGATAGTGGATAGACTACACAACAATCATCCACACATAACCACAATTGACCGGTTTGAGGTTGTGAGCTCATACTTATATCTGGGATCATTAATCACAAACACAGGGTCATT